ATGAGCATACAAGTGGGTGAAGAGGCAGAGGGAGAGGAAGGCTCCCCGCTGAGCAGAGAGTCCGACATGGGACTCTGGGTCATGAGCTGAGCTGAAGGCAGATGCTTAACTGACTGAGCCACCCAGGAGCCCCTATATGTTTGTTTCTATTTGCCAGTACCAAATTGCTTCGATTACTCTAACTTCGTAATATAGTTTGAAATCAGAAATATGATGCCTCCAGTTTTGTTGTTTCTCAGGATTGCTTTGGCTGTTTGGAGTTTTTCATGGTTTCCTATGAATTTTAGGGTTTTTTTATTTTTTTCTATTTCTGCAGAAAATGCCATTGAAAATTTAATAGGGAAGCATTGAATTAGGTATCTTTGGGCAGTAAGGACATTTCTGCAGTATTAATTCTTCCAAACCATTAACAGAGGATATTTTCCCATTTGTGTCTTCCTCAACTTCTTTCATCAGAGTCTTGCAGTTTCCAGTGTGTAGATCTTTCACCTTATTGGTTAAATTTATCCCTAAGTATTTTATTGTTTTTGATGCTATTGAAAATGAAATTTTATTTCTTTTTCAGGTATTTCATTGTTAGTGTATAGAAACACTATACGTTTATGCTGTTAATTTTGTATCCTGCGACCTTAGAGAATTCTAGTTCTACCAGTGTGTGTGTGTGTGTGTGTGTGTGTGTGTGTATGTGTGTGTGTGTGTGTATAGTCTTGGATTTTCTACATATAAGATCTTATCATCTACAGAGACAATTTTACTTCTTCCTTTCCGATTTGGATGCTTTTTTTTTCCTTGCTTAATTGTTCTGGCTGCGACTTCCAGTACTATATTGAATAAGAGTAGTGAGAGTGGGAATCCTTGCCTTGTTCTTGATCTCAGAGGATTAGCTTTCAACCTTTTGTTGTTAGGTATGATGGTAAGCTGTGGGCTCATCATATATGGCCTTTATTATGTTGAGGTATATTTCTTCCATATCCAATTTGTTAAGTGTTTTTCTAATGAAAGGATATTGTATTTTGTCAAGTGTTTTTTCTACACCTATTGAGATAATCTTTTGGTTTTTGTCTTTTATTCTATTCATGTGGTGTATCACATTTATTGTTTGTAAATGAACCATCCTTGCATCTCAGGGATAAATCCCAATTGATCATGAAAGACTGTATTAAATTAATGAAAATAAGCTTCCTTTTATTCCCAAATCTTGGAATAAAATGAGCTCTTCTAGAAGATCTTGTTTATTTTTTGGCTTCTGGAATGTTGTAATATATCTTCTTCACCCTCAGGGGCTTAGGTACCACATAACCAGAGCCCAGACCCAAATCATTCCATTGACCTGCCACAGTGATGTTGTGACTCAGATACAACTATTCCTACATTGCAGATGAGGAAACTAGGCTTGCAAACATGAAGTAGCTTACACATTCTTATAACCAGAAAGTGAAAAAGCTGAAACTCAAATCCAGTCTGTGTAATTTTAAAGCTGATTCTCCAACAAATTGTCAATTAAGCCCAGTTAGTTTTTACATAAAGTGTGATTATTTCTCTCTTATTTCAGAAAAGATGAAAGGTAGTTTGAAGATAAGTGCTCTGCCTACTTCACAATGTGGTTATGAAGGTAAAAATATTACAGTTGTGAATGGAAAAGCTGTAAAAACCATAAAGTTCTAGAAATATACAAGATACTATTCTTACAGCTTTCCCCAAACATTTTACTATGTCAGATTGTAAAATTAACCCAACTAATTCTGAAATGAAAGGACTCAGTGGAGCAAAAATAAAGTTGTTGGGATCTTTTGGTTGGGTATAAAACCATCACCAAGAGTGATGCCATTTAATACTTGAGAACCATTAGTAAAGTACAGTGTGGCAAGCACTAGATGTCAGGTGCAATAACAAAACAAAATCCTTCACTGTTGGATTTAATGTCCTCCCCACCCCTATCCCATCTCCAGACGTGGACAGCTAGTGCCCACTGCCTGTGCAGCTCCTGCAGGGCCACGAAGTCCTGCCCTGAGCATCACCTTGTTTGATCTGATGTTTTTACCATTTCCCCAACGCAGGTGCAGAGGGACTGAGGCACAGGGAGACATTCCCAGCCTATCTCACATTGGAACAGGTGTCCATGGGCTGGTGTTCAAACCTAAGAACTGTTCTTCCATATGCAATTAGTCTTTGTTACTTTTATGTAGCCCCCAATGTGGGATATGCACCAACGATTTCGGTGAACATGACATGATTTTAGGGGCCCTCAGGCTTGGAATGAATTAATATCAAAGCACATAGTACTTCCAATTCTCTTCCAGTCCTTGTGGTTACATCACAAAGTCTGTTTGGTGCCAGTGTCTTTCACACCTCCCCCACACAAGCCAATCTGCATTTTTAATGGAGAGAAAAGGTCTCAGATTCACAGCCTTCACTAGGATACAGGATCTGTCTAGAAGTTAATAACATAATTTTGTCTTCATTTTCTTGATCTTTACAGTGACTGTATTTTCTATTCATAGCAAGTGATATGAGTCCCCCCCCCACTTAGTTAGCAAGACAAATAATTTTTAAACAAAATTAATTAAAAACTGAGTTGACAAGGATCCCTGGGTAGCTCAGTGGTTTAGCGCCTGCCTTTGGCCCAGGGCATGATTCTGGAGTCCCGGGATTGAGTCCCATGTTGGGTTCCCTGCATGGAGCCTGCTTCTCCCTCTGCCTGTGTCACTGCCTTTCTCTCTCTCCTCTCTCTCTCTCTCTCTCTCTCTCTCTCTGTCTCTCATTAATAAATAAATAAAATCTTTTTAAAAAACTTTTAAAGTATTTTTTAAAACTTTATTGGATGAGGAGTTGCTTCTTTATGGATGAACAAAGAAAGTAGTTTCTTGAGATGGAATCTATTTCTGGTGAAGAAGACAAAAAATTTAGAAACCATTGATAATGCAGTGACAGGGTTTGAGAGGATGGACTTGTTTTGAAAGAAGTTCTACTGTGGGTAAAATGCTATTGAACAGTGTCATGTGCCACAGAGAGAAATTGTTCATTAAAAAAATAGGTCATCCAATGGAGGAAACTTTATTGCTGTCTTATAAGAAATGGTCACAGCTGCCCCTACCTCAAACTTCAGCAACCACCACTCTGATCAGTCAGCAGCCATTGACACTGAGGCGAAACCCTCCACCAAGCAAAAAGATCACAACTTGCTGAAAGCTCAGATGTTGGTCAGCAATAAAGCAATATTTTTTTTAGCAATAAAGCATTTTTAAAATTAGGGTATGTACTTTTAAAAAGACACAATGCCATAAATGTACTATAGTATGCAGTAAGCATAACTTTAATCTGCACTGGGAAATGAAAAAGTTCATTTGGCTGGTTTTATTGCAATATTTACTGTGTTGTGGTGGTCTGGAACTTAACCGCTCTATATTTTGTGGGCTCCAGATTTTGAACTCCAGCTTTATTTTACTTATTTATTTATTTATTTTGAACTCCAGCTTTATATTACTACCTAGAAATTCTCTTGTTAACCAATTCATGTCTAAGAGTAACTAAGAGGGAAACTTAACTAAATAAATTCCTAGTTTAGCCATTTGGGTGGAGTGGAATATGTTATTCCCATCGTGCATCATAAACATACCATACTTCACTCCTTACACTGATCCTCAAATGTTTCCACCAAGGAATCTCAACCCAGAGTGAAACAAACCCATTTTCCAAGACCCTGAGAGGACTCCTCAGGAAACTGCTAAAAAGTTAACAATTTTTTTTCATGGCTAGCTCAAAAGTTTATTCTAGTTTTGGATCCTACTTAAGTAGAGCCATGTGTTTTGACATAACATCTCTCTGCAAAAATAATTTAGTACACTGACCTTCTCGGAAGATGACACTCGCTTGTACTAATGCCCCTTGGCCTCTGGGTACACCTCTGAGGTCTAGGAACTTGGATTGGAGAAGCAAGGACTTGCTTTGTGCCAGTCCCTCTACCATGAATGTGGAGATCCAGAAATCTCCTGGGGCAAGAACCCAGTTTCTTTCCCTATCCCCATGATGCTTCATGTAGGGCAGGGCCCCTGGGGAGCTTGGTTTGTGATCAGAGGTTCGTAATGAGGTTTTGCAGAAGCTCCAAGATGCTTCAAGAATAATATGAGGGAAGACTTGAAGATCTCTGACTTTGGAGCTGCACAGCCCTTAGTTCAAAGCCCACGGCTGCTGCTTATTGGATCCTTGCTCTTGAGTACTTTGGGCATTGTAGAGAAAATATTGGATTTGACAGTTGGAAGGAAAGGCAACTCAGTCTAAGAGGGAGCAGCTAAGGGAGGTTCTGAAGCTGTGTGGAGTGTGTGTGATGAGCCCAGATGTCCCCATCCAGACACCTGGGTTCTCCTAACTGTCTGCCTAGCTATCCGCTGTCAGCCCAAAGAGTTCAGCAAGGAGTACTCCCTCCATGCCCCTTTTTCTTCCTTGTCTAAAACACAAGAAAGTTGCATGGGATGGTTCCTAAGATCCTCCCAGCTCTGATGCTTTCTGCTCAATATTTCAGTTTCATTAGACATAGGTCTTGGCTTCCTTTTCTTCACCGACGCCCAACCTTCTTCATCATTTCTAAAATAGCTGTGTGTACCATCCTTATTTTATTTAAAAAAAACCCCAGCTATCTCTTGTTGACGCTGCTCTCAAACTTCAAAATGTTCTCTCCTGAATATATGAAGAAGATCAACAGCCTTTGTTCCCAGCATGAATGTTTTACTGGCTCGGGAGGTTATGTAACTAGACTTATTACAATCCCAGAAGGCAGAACCGAAACAAATGACACAGGAGAAGCCAAATTTTCTTATCTGGCCTAGAATGTTTCCCCAGCCAAGAATCCAAGATGACACTCCTATCCCTAAGGGTTCATTTCTTATTTCCTTTTTCTCTGAGCACAAGAAATGCGCATTTAATTAGGCACCCCCCGCCCAGCCCCACTGGCCATAATGAGCACTCATGTCATCTTAGTTAATAAAGTGAGGATTTATTCAATTTTCAGTTCTAATAAATAGCCATTATCTTTGCAATGGGCCCCAAGCCCTGGTTTAAAAAAAAAAATGACATGGTCTCTGTGACCATTCAAAGGGAGAATGTTAAGCTATGTTCTTTCATTACAAAAGTGAGTGTCTCCACTACTCAGCTGCAGTTTCAAGGCTTGAAGCTGAATTTAGTTTTCTTAGCACATGGATGTCCCACGGACACGTTAGCCCAGCATTAGGATCTTAAAAATAAGAGAAAGGAAAAACAAAAAGCAGAGAAGCAGACACGGAGGGTAGAACAGGTGACTTCCCTCTCCGTGGACCGTGGGCAAATCCGTTCCGAAGGAAGTCCGGGGCCCAGACACATCTGAAACACCCCCCACCCCGGCTTTTTTGAAGGCGGTGGGAAGACCAGTGAATCTGCATTCACTGAATCAGGGCTCCGGAGGTACCGGAGGATCTTCCTTGGGGATTTTTATTTCCAAATGAAGAACAGAGCAGCCTACTTAATCCCCCTCCCTCCCTGGAGGAAGATGCGTAAAGGAACATGCCAGTGTCTCAGGCTGTTTTTGTCGTTCATTCTTGAGACTGACTGTGACCTCAGAGAGTCAAGAGGAGGAGAGAGGCCTGGGCCTGGGTCCTGCAGCCCCGGCAGGTGGCCGTGAGTGGGAGGAGGAGAGCTCTGTACGGCGGGGCCTGCATAGGGTGACGGGGGCAGCTCCAGAGCAAGCCGGGCGGTGCGGAGCTGAGCTGGATGCCCATCCCCTGGTCATCGACGTCGTCGCCCACCCTCCCGGTGTCCACTCCTCACTCCTACCTGTCCCCGCTGGTCTCGGCCAGCCTGTTGTTCATGATGGCAAAGGCCCCCACCCCGCCCGAGAACTCACTGTCCCGGGACAGCATGCTGGCCTGCGGCGGGCCGCCGTTGGCCGTCTCAGACAGCTGCTTCTGGAGGATGGCCAGCGAGACCTTGTTGGCGGCCAGGAAGTCCTTCATGGAGATCATCTCCCCCGACAGTCGCCGCCCGTCGGTGTCGCTGTCCATCACCCCGTCCGTGTCTATGGAGATGTTGCAGCGGTTCTGCACGCTGTTGCCTGGCATGACCACGTTCCTCCGTGAGCGGCCAAGTCTCCTCCGGCACTGCTGGCAGCAGCCCCCTTCCATCTTCCTCAGGATCCAGTTCACCGACTGCTTGATGAGGATGGAGATGACGTTGAACAAGGAGTAGATGCAGCAGACGCCCATGAGGATGAACACGAAGTTGGCGAAGCGGTAGAGGCCCTGGCGATCGTACTGGGCGTGCTGGCTGCTGACCAGGTCCCCGAAGCCGATGGTGCTGAAAGCCACAAAGCAGAAGTAGAGCGAGTCGAAGTAGCTCCAGCCCTCGATGGAGGTGTACATGGCCGAGGCACAGCAGGAGATGAGGAGGGAGGCCACGCACAGGATGAGCATGACGTAGTACACGGAGGGCTTCCAGCCGGCCAGGCTGTCCGCCTCGCACCTGCCCGGGTTCTTCAGGCTCTCGGGGGGCAGGGCCCCTCGTCTCTGGAGCTGCCGCTGGTGGCACGATTTCATGATGTAGGCGATGACGGTGATCAAGCGCTCCAGGAAGAGGTTGAAGAACAGGATGGTGCTCGCGCACCCAATGAGGCCATAAAAGATCAGAAAGATTTTTCCTCCCACTGTCGCTGGAGTGGTCATCCCAAACCCTGCAGGAGACAAAAATCAGAGAAGAGTGAGGGAACACGGGCAGGGTCTTGGCTGTGACGGCTGGCAGAGGGCCCGAAGAATGAGTGTCATAAAAAGTGCTCAGTCCTAGCCTTTCTAGGAACCAGGGGGGGCGAGGGGCTCTCAGTGAAGACACTGCGCGTTGTTCAGAGCTGCACTGCTGAAAGCTTGTAGGGTGCCATGGTGCAAATCAGGAAAAGGCACCTCTTCCTCCAGGTGGTTGCCTCCAGGCAGCAAAAAAGTGGCTGGGTGATGAGAATGAGAGTTGGATTTTGGGCCTCCCCTGTCGACTTGGCTAGATGTCCTGTGGAGTGCACAACCTGAACAGCCACAGTCAGCAGATGTTGTTCAGACAGAGAAGTTTCATACAAGAGTTCGACAAGTTTCATACAAAGAAGGTTCGTACAAGAGAAAGTTTCATACAAAGAAGGTTCGTACAAAGAAAAGGTTTGTTCAGACTCATCAGAATTCAGTTATTGCACAAATACTCATTCAGTGCCATTCCAGGAACTGGGGATTAAACTGTAAAATAGCCAGATCTGGGCTCTGTCCCTGTGGAGCTCTAGCCCAGCGCGGTGACTACTCTACCGTGTACGTGTTGTGCTGGAGGAAGTAGTGTCCTATGGGAGCAGCCAAGAGGGGAACCCATCTCAGGCTTGAGGTTCTGGGAAGACTAAGCAGGGATGCTTGAAAGCTACAGAGGAATTAGGCAGGCAAGGAGAGGTGTGTGTGCGTGTGTGTGTGCGCGCGTGCATGTGTGGTATTTCAGACACATGAAATGTGTGTACACGAGTGTGGTAGTGGTATTTCAGAGAAACAGCAAATGCCAGCATATGTAGAAATGAGAAATGTGCTCAAGATTTGCCCATCTTTTAAACAAAATACTTCAAACATACACCTTATATTTGGGGAGTGAAAACTGAGGTGTTGATTTTTATAGTGTGATCAAACAAAAAGTGTCTCTCTTTCCTTTACCTCTTACTGTTCACAATTTCTACCTTCTTGACCTTCTCACCCATGCACACAGACATGTTCCCAAGAATACCAACTACAGGACAATAGGCATTTCTAAAAACACCAAGAAAAAGAAAAGAGCAGTGATTCACTCAGTATTTCTCACTGAGGGGTGGCCAGGGTCAGCCCACTCCAAGGGACATGGAATCCTTCCAAGCAAATGATTCAGTAACCATGAGAATTCCGATCTGTTCTAGGGATGGGCATCAAAGTCTCTGAAAACAAATGCCATTCAAAAAAGGAGTACTGAGACTGCCTCCCTGGGTTCCGCCTTTCATTCGGACCAAACCTTGGTCCAAACTTATCTCCATTTTTCCCCTTTATTATCAAGTTCAGGTTCCTAACTTAAGCTCCATCATTGGGATCTTGAGGACTCACCCTTATCCTGTTTCCTGATGACACCCTGCTTGTCCCCAAGCCAATACTTTTCTTTGTTATCACAGCTGCCCATGGTTGCTTCCCAGTGCACGCTGGGACATGGTCAGGTCAGGCCTTGCCATGTGTGGGCTTCTGGGGAGATGGCCTCCTGCTCTCCTCAGGCAGAGCCAAGGGGCCACCCTTCTCAAACACTTAGCTATACAGACTGTGCTACCGTCTGGTTACCATCCAGTTCAATTGGATTGTTCTTTTACAGCCCAAAAGGGTCTACACGAGTGTAGGCTGTAAGCAACCGGTAATCAGGTGACTGGAGAAAGATGGTCAATCTAGCTTTTTAGCTGGATGGGAGGAGATGATTTCATTAAGGAAGGAGCATGGGCGGTGGGGGGTGATGGCGGGGGAGGCTGGAGATACTTCCATTGGGAGTTACAGTTATGGACTCTAATGGTAGAGAGAAAAGTAGACCCTTATCTCTTCCCTGGGAACTCCCTCAGCAACTCTTCGCCTTGCATGTTTCATTTATTAGGTGCCTTCCTTATGTAAAGAAATACTTTGTTTTGGGGTGCCTGGGTGGCTCAGTCAATTGAGCATCTGACTCTTGGTTTCACCTCAGGTCATGAGATAAAGCCCTGTGTCGGGCTCCACACTCAGTGCGGAGTCTACGTGAGATTCTCCTTCTTCCTCTGCTCCCACCCCACTCCCCCACCTCTCTCTCTCTCTTAAATAAGTAAATAAATAGAAATACTTTGTGTTTTCTGTGTTTTCTCTTGTTAGTACCTTTCATTCTTATCCCCAAGCTCAAATTGAAATGAGGTGGTTTTAATAGTGGAGAATTTAGAAAAAACTTACTGAGTTTAAGGACTGAGCTGAGAGCAATGTCTTTCTCTCCCCAGGCCAAAGAACTCTGAGGAGTAACCAAGGTGTTGAGTGATTAGTTCCTGGTTATCTGAGGATGTTGGGGCACCTCTTCTGGCTCAGTGAATTCCCGGAAGCAGTACAACTTGCAGATCTTTCTGCACTAAGAAATGAATGACAAGGGGTTCCTGGGTGGCTCAGTCGGTTGAGCATCTGCCTTCGGCTTGGGTCATGATCTCCAGGTCCTAGGATCAAGCCCCATGTCAGGCTCCCTGCTTGGTGGGGAGTCTGCTTGTCCTTCTCCCCCTTCTCCCTCTGCTCCACCCCTGCTCATGCTCTTTCTAACAAGTAAATAAAATCTTAAAAACAACAACAACAAAACAACAACAAAAACAATGGAAGCTGGAGCCCCTGCCCCAAAGCTGTAAGGCCAGAGGAGTCTTAGGGGTCTCTTCATTGGAGACAGAACAGAGGCAACAAGCAGAAAAAAAAAGACAAACACTTATCTGGGGCCTTTTATTGACCCAACAATATTCTAGAAACAGAATAAAGGCATTGAAAATGAGGAAAGCCCAGAAATAGCAAGGGAGCGGGAGGGGGAGGTTCTTGCCAACAATCAGAGGAGAACTTTCTCATGTAGCACAAGATTTAAATGGGCACATGTTTGCTACCCCAAAAATCTTCCTTTCTGATCCCAGAGGTGACTTGATTATTTTAGTCTTGGAAAGTAGAGCAGTTAAGAATAGCTCTCAGCCAAAGTTTACGACAATAATTAATTAAGCACCTGTGAAGTTCAAGAGCCTGCACTGTTTGGACCACACAATGATTATTAGCCGGACAAGGTCCTTGACCTCAAGGAACCTCACATCCAGGCTGGGACAAATAAGCTGCTACCTACAAGACAAGGCATAGAGAGTCAAGTGTCAAAATAAAGGCAGAGTGGAGTTATCCGGCTTCAGGGGCCCGAATGCTGCCTCACTTGGGGTGAATGATGTACAGGTGCATGACTGAAGCCAGCTGACAAGCTCAGTAAACTGACTTTTCCAATGAATGACATGTCTAGTGATGTGGGGACGTGTCCCAGGGACTGAAAATTTCTGGATTTTATCTTGCTTATTTGGCTTTAAAACATTCCATTTTATCAAAGGACAGTGAAGCCATGAGTTTTGATTACCTACTGAACCTGGTTGATCACTGCCATCTTTTCAATCAGCAAAAATGACAGAAAAATGGCATACATGGTAGTGTGAGAGAAGCACTGGGAGGCAGCCCTCCTCTAGTTTGCTGTGAGAGGTGTTTCCACAACTTCTGCTATTGTCAGAGCTTAAAAGTGTGGAAGTTCAATACTATAGGCTTTTTCATAAAAAGCCTTCCCTCTTTTGAGCCCATAACACTGAACATTAGGGATGCCTTGGATTGGGAATGAGAAGCCTCAGGGTCCTCCTTGGTGAAGGAAGAGGATAAAAGCATCACCAAGCATACCTGCCCTCTGCCAGGTATCCCTGGCTCCTCGCCCCCTTGCTGGGGAGCTGGCTCTTATTAGCCTACTAGTTCCATTTGACAGGTGAGAAAAAGAAGAGTACAGAAGCTAAGTAACCTGCATAAAGATGTAAAGCCAGAATGAGAACCTCAATTTGTCTCCCAGGCCTGTGCTCTTTCCACCTGACTATGCTAGGTGAGTGCCAGCCACTGACAGGTGTAGCATCAAGACTAGAATCGGGGGAGGGAAATTAACCAAGCATCTCTAGTTCCACGCTTTACATAGACACCCAGACCACAGTGGCTGCCAAATCTGGTACCCAAATCAGGGGATTGGCTTGCATCATAAACTGAAACCCTACAATTTTCATTTACTAAAACACATGTTTCTGAATGTATGTGTGCCTCTTCCAACAAGTGATGTAATTAAGTCTGTTTCTAAAATGTGCTACACCCCATGCATTTTGGTCTCCTTGTATTTCGTAGGCACACAAATGAAACTGATTGTCACAGGTGGTGCTTTTCAGTATATAATTTATTTTCTGCGCTTGAAGCCTGAGGTCATCTGATTTCTGTCCAACCCCTGAGTCTGGGAGCACATGAGCTAGCTGACTGAGGACCTAGGGCCCAGGAGTTTGGAGTCCAAGGACTCCAAGGAAGCTTGCCTGGCAGCCTACTTCGTTCTGGCTCATTGGAACCATTTCAGGTCTGCTTCAGTGTGACCCCTAGCGTAGCTCTTGGGACCAAACCAGGTTCTCTGGTGTCCTTGGAGCCAGGAATGAAGCAGCCGGGGAATGCCAGGGTCACAGTCAACCCCAATAGAGCTTTTCATTTAGACTATGAAGAGAGGAAAGTAGACCTGCGGTCTCCTAGCATTTATGTATATTCTGTTGACTATTATATTCTTCAAAAAAATTAATCAGGGTAAAACACTGAAAAGCTTTGCATACATATTTTCAAACATACACAAAGGTAAAGAGAATATTAATAAACCCTCATTTCCCACTTGAAGCAGTTGTCGACATTTTGCCAATCATGGTTCTCCTATCCCACCCCACCTCCTGTATTTGCTGGAGTATTTTAAAATAAATCCTAAATAACACGCCATTTCATCCATTAATATCCATCAATAAGGACACATTGGGGAGCTTGGGTGGCTCAGTCGGTTGAACAGCCGACTCTTGAACTCCGCTCAGGTCTTAATCTCAGGGCTGTTGAGTTCAAGTTCTATGCTGGGACTTGAAAAATAAATTTA